TGTGCACCTTAGAGTTGTCTCACTGTAATTGTAATTTCAATTACGGTATACACGAATCTCATTCGTTTGCCCATCTGCAGCTGCATTCGCCCCAAAAGGGCAGTCACTGACGCTGTCGCTGCCTCCCTCTCTCTCTCCACCCACTTTCGGCAGCAGCGCAAAAGCTTCGTCCGCTGCTATCAGCTCTGTCGCTGCCTTGGCTGCTGCCGGCTGCTGTTGCTGTTGCTGTTGCTGCTGCTCTCTGCTGACGCCTCTGTCGACTGCAGTCCGTGCAGTTCAAGTTCAATGTCAAGCGCATTCTGCTTTTGTGCTGTACGAGCTGTATTTATAAGCATTTTCGTGTATGTGTTTGTGTGTATTTGTATTTGTTTATTTTTTAACTGTATTCACTCTTCTGTTTGTGGCCATAAACGTACTGATATTATTGCTTATTTCGCTTATATCACTCTTTATTGCTTTGTTTATTTCTTTAATGATATTTCAATTGTTTGTTTTTTAGCTTTGGCAGCGGAATTTTGATTTGATTTATTCTGAAGTCCATCTTTATGACTATATTTCGGGCGAAACAAATCACATTAAAGCCTTAAGTCCATCAAAAGTGTACAAATTTGCATTCAAAAATGATTGAGAAAGTGTAACTCATTCGGCGAGCCATGAAATGATTTTTAGGAGTATCATTTTCATTCATGCAAGTTTTATATAAACAAAAGTCAAATGGAATTGGTTCTTCATTCGATTACTTTGACATAAGAACCACTTACACAACAAACTGTCGTCAGGCGGCTAGGGAATACGAGTATAAATCGCAATATTTAACGACTCGGCGCTAAAAGAAACCGAATCCAAAGCAAAGCCCCCGCTTCGACCCCCACCACACTCTTCAAGTTCACAGAGCCAGGCCAGGCCAGGCTTTTCGAGTCGTCTAGTCGGCCCACGCTCAAGGACAACTGGCGCATAATTCCAAATAAAATGTTGTATATAGCCATGTGCCCGTGGGGGCCCCGGTTAGCTACTAGCTAGACCGTGGCCCGAGCACGCGGCACATAAATGAAATTTATTATATGCTGCGCAAAAATTTGCCATATCATTTTGTTGTCGGGAATATGTTTTGTTGTTCTTGCTATTTTTTGTCTATTTAGTTGGTGCTAGAGGGAGCAGTGTGCTTCCTCCCCCTCGGGAATATGACAGCAAAGGCTTAGAGCAAAAAAAAAGAGATTGAAACCAACCCAAAAAGCAAATGTAGAAGTGCGTAAATTCCAGTATAGAGAGGCGTTCACAGGAATACCCTGGAATGGGGTTAGGCGTGGAGCCAGATCCCCTTGCCACCAATAACCGAGGTACCCCACGCAGCCACTGAGCATAGGGTAGGGCACGGGATATAATAACCAAAAACCGTATAAAGCAGAGGCCTATGTGCGCTGCTGACGACAATGGTTATGTTCTTTACCGCTAGAGAGTGTGAGTGAGAGGGAGCGAGCAATCACATGCGTACGCACGCGTGCAGTTCGTCGAGCCGAGCGGTGCTTGTGTGTTCGGCGGTGGTGGAGGAGGCACAGCAACGAAGACCACGACGGAAACGAAGCTACACACGCACCGGGGAAAACGCGTTGGTTGCGTGAGTTCTTTATTTTAGCGCGTGCTCTCATCAACCGTTCGCCCCTCTCTCGGGCTCACGCACTCTCTCTTCGCGTCTGTCTATCTCTCTCTTACTACTGTTCCTCCTCTGTTCGTGTGTGTGCGACGACTCGTTCAATCAACTGCTAGAACTTTGCTAATTTCATCTAATCAGTTGACCTTGAATATTTGTTTTATTCCCTGCGGCACCAACCCAAACCCAACCCATCCCACGGGGTATTTATTCTTATTTCATTCTTTTCACAAACACACTCACGCACTCGAGCATTGGAATTTGCTCTCTCTTCCGCTCTGCCACCGCCGCCAGCCGCCGGCCGCCGGCCGCTGTGTGCTGCTGTTTCTACACACTAAAATTGTTGTTGTTGTTTTTGCATTAATTTATTTGAGGCTTGTTTTATTTCAAGGTGAAATATGCGCAAATAAAAATTACCAAACAAAAACATCGCATATCGAAAGGAAATTGCCAAAATATACAGTCAGCAAAGCAGAAACACGTTCTAGAAGCGATTTTTGGATACCCTGTAGGTATTTGGTGTAGGTTTCTTTTGTCCTGTAAAGGGTATGGCAGGTTCACCAATTATATTCTTAATATGCCTTAAGTAGGGTAACCCTAAGTAGGTTTTCCAGTTTAATTTTGTCTTCTAATACTGCAGCTCCTGCTCAGCCCTCGCTCTTACCCTTACCCCTCCACAGTTATTCACTTTGCACAGCTACTGCAGTTTCTGCTAGTCACTTTTCACTTATTACTCATACGCCCCATTGCACTGCTCGCGCTGTTCATTTGTCGCCCGTCTCCATCTTCGTCTCTGTTCTTTGAGAACCGACCCCTTCCTCTCTGTCGCACAATCGTTTGTCGCCGTAGCTTTGACATTGACTTTGAAGATAGCGAAGAGATTGTGTGCTCTCTTTGTCTCCCTCACTCTCTTGCTCTGTTTAAAATTAGAATATACTTACACACATTTGCACGAGTCTCTCTTATCGGCATTTACTAGGGTACTGGGGCTGAGGGAGCGCCGGTTGTAAGGGGGCGAGAGGATGAGTGTCTTCCTATCGCCTGGCATCGGCCAAATGAATGTTATCTCTACACGCGGTACAGCCAGACGTCCCCCGTCCTCAGCGCCACTGGAGCCCCTCCGCTGTGCACACACACAAACACGCACAGCGACAACAACAGCAAAAACAACGTTGATTTGATTATTTCGGCAAATTCATTTCGCGACTCTTATCGCCTCAAGGTCACGGGCAAATACCAAAACAGGCACACATACACAGCTACTGATATACTAACGCCATAGAACAGGCGCGACATTGAAAATAATCGCTTCGTCGGTAGGCAGAAGAGGAACAATCCGCAAATATGTATTTTATTTGTGCGTGTGTGTGATAAGTCCGCTGATTGACTGCGTGGTGGTAAAGGGGGAAAGCAATGAGTGTTGGCTGTATTCAAGGGTTAGTCAAGATCCAAACCATTTCCAAAATAAAAATCATCTCTTTCTTTTGTTTTCATAGTTTTTGTTGTTTGATATATTTTAAATACTTATGCTTAATATTTTATTCACATATTCCATTCTTGGGTTAGGGCGAGGGGGTGTATTTCGTTTAAAACAAACTGTAATATTATTTTATTTCACAAATACAAATTTTTCTGCTTTTTTTTTTTTGTTGGTTGTTAATTGTTTTGCTTTTTTATGGAGATTTAAATCGATTTTTGGATACATACCTTCACACACTCTCTCTATATCTCTATCTTTCTCTCCATTTCTCACATTCGCTGTCGACACTTTCGACTGTTTTTTTTGTTCTTGCCAAAATTTTCATGTTTAAAAACTCTTTTTATTTTTTTGTTTATTTGTTTTTGCCGCATTTCGAGTTGTGGCTGTCTTTTTGTTGAAAATATATTCATGTGTGTATATGTATGTATATATATATTTTTTGTTATAGATATTATTTATATGGTATTTCTCATCTGGAGTTACGTTCAAATTTATTTTTTCTCTTTCGATTTTTCCCGCTTCAAAAGGGATGTTACATTACGTTCAACTCTCTTACGTGTCTGTTTACGATTAAGGTTTACATTTACGTGTACTTTTTACGCTTAATTGTCGCAATTTCATTGTTTCAGTTGTCGCTGCGCCGTCGCTTCGATAGGGACTCACCATCCTCCTCCTCCCAAACTACCATCATCAAAATCTGATGATGGTCCTTAATCCCCCAACCATATCCTACCATGTTTAAGTAGTTATTTTTACATAAAATATTTCACTTTTAGATACACAATACAATTTTTTTTCGGTTTTTTTTGTTCTGGCTAAAAGTTACGGACAATGTTACATTTACATGCACCTACTACACACACAGACATCAAAATCGTTTCATCTACATATCCGTATATATCCATTTACATATACATACTATATATGTATACTATAGTCAATTATTGAAGTGTGATATTTCTGTAAATCTTTGTGGGATTTCTTCTGTTAGAACCCCTTTATGCCCCTTATCATTCTCTGACCTGTTACGGCCTGTCCGTCCTGCTTTACTTTGCATAAATTTTAAAAGAATATAATATTTCTTGTATGTAGATTTCCGCACGGATTTTCCATTCCATCCCAAATTGTGAACTTTGATGTTCTCATTTTCCTTTCTTTTTTTTTGGTTTTTTGTTGTGTTTTTTCATTTATACACATAAAGTTGTTGTTGATTTAATTCTGATATAAATACTTGAGATATAATTTGGTGAGTATTTTTTTACAGACGCGGTAGTCAAAAGAAAATATAACCAAATAAATGATTTTGAGCAGTGAAAAACCATTATAAAAACCAGAAATAAACTGAAAATGGGAAAAACTCCCAACTGAAAAACAAGAGATAATTTAAATGAAAAAACTGAAGATGTTTGTTGAAATTTTTAAACAAATTTTTTTTATTGATTTGACAATACAAATTTCTGCGCCAGTGTTGGTTTTTTTTGTGGTTTGTTTGTTTTTTGTTGTTTTTTTGTTGTTGTGGTTTTTGTTTTCTTTGTTTTGTTGTTGTTGTTGGTTTGTCTAAGCATAAAAATAGTAATTAATTAATTAATCGTAATCATTTAATAATCATAATCGTAATAGTACAGCGTAATTATAAGATAATTAATGTAATAGTTTTTTGCTACCGCAAGTGTTTAATTTTCTTTTCTTGTTTTTTTCCTTTTAATATAAATTTATACTTTACTTTTTTTTAAATAATATATCATAATTTCTGTTTCTGTTTGTATCGTGTTTTTTTGTTGTTTGTTGTATTTGTTGCCTGGTTTTCCAATCGAACATTGAATCGTTGAAGCATTTATATTTACGTGTTTCTAGATGTACGCTTTAAATATGGTTTTTGTTTTGTTTAATTTAACATTTAACTATGTACACAACAAATATATTTAACGTTGGGTTTCCGCTCTCTTTACTTTTTCCATCATTTTTTTAAGCATTTTTCGTTTGATTTTCCATCCATATAATTGTATTTTTTGTGGTAGGTTTTGTTTAAAATTAGAAAACAATATTTTTCACCCCATACGAATAATTGTAGGGGGAGGGGGTGTTCTTTTGTGCCAAGGGAAATTACAAAACGATAGCTACAGATACGGATAGATAGATAGAGGGAGGAAGGGGAAGGGAGAAAAAACTATAACAAGTTTCGTATAAAATTAGTCAAAATTCATAAAAAATGAATCGTAATTTGTGGCCAAACTGCCTTTCGGAGATCGCACAATAAAACTTCACACTGATTTGTTTTTTATGTTTTTTTGTTTGTTTTAATATTTAATAATCATAATATAATAATAATAATAATTTGCAGTTTTTTCAAAAAACATCCAAAAAGCAAAAGTAGTTTTTGCACCTACAAACTAAACCGTAAGCATAAGTTAAATGTAAAATAATTAATTAATATATACAACAATAGTGCTTAAAACGTATAAAAACAATCGGGGGTTTCTGATTGGGTGGAGGGGAAAAGGGGGGATCGGGAACTCTTCGTTCTCTACTTTAAAGTTTAACTGCTAAAATATATATGCATGTTCCTCTCTCTCTCTCGCTGTCTCTGGCTTCCTCCTGGTAATACCTTCAAGCTTGGGTTTAAATTAATAACTTTTAGTTTTTCCTCTGTTTCTCTGCTGCTTCTCCTTCACTTTAAATATAGTTTTTCTCTTACTCCATCGTTACTGGTTGCATTCCCCTTTCCCAATCTTTGTACAAGACTCTCTCTCGAAACTCTTCAAAATAACTTAATCCCCTCTGCTCTCCACACTCCCTCTCCCGCTCGCTATCCATCGCATCCCCCTAAGGACCAGTGTCAGTCTCTGTTTCAACTTCTTTACCTCAAGGCCTACAGGCTCCCAGCTTATGCCTCCAACATGACCTTGTGCGCGGTCGCCACAGCTGGCGGACTGTTGCTCGGCGCGGGACTGGCCGCCGCCGAGGGTGGACCGCCGCTGGAGGCAGTCACCGTAACATCGGCCGAGAGTGTGGGGTAACGCTGCACAGCATTGGCGGCAGCCACGAGGGCGTGCAGCTTGCTGGGCGGCGGCGTTGGCGACTTCTTGGACAGGTTGAGGGGCTGGGCCGAGTCGGCAATGTCCACCTGCAGCTCCAGCAGGGGGCTGGAGGAGGCTGTGGCTGCACCAGCGCCGTTGCCGGCTGTGCCTGCCACCGAGGAGCTGCTGGTGGAGTGCGGAGACTGGAAATACTGGCAGCTGCCCACAGAGCTGGAGCTGCAGTTGCTGTTGCTGTTGCTGGATGAGGAGCTGGACGACGAGGAGGAGCTGGAGCTGGAAGAGCTGCTGCTGCTGCTGCTACCATTGCTGTGCGGCGACACCGACTGCTGCCTCTGCTGGCAGGTGGTCGTGATCACCGAACTGCTGCCCCAACGTTGCGGGGCCGGCGGCGGCGGACTGCTGGTAGAGGGTGAGGCGCAGTGGCTGCTCGGGCTGCGTCCGCCAATGCTCGCCGAGGAGGAGGTGGTGCTGCTGGCCATTGCGGTGGTGCCCGGCTCGCGCTTCAGATAGTTCTGGATAATGTCACTACGCTTGATCTGCTCGGGCGTCATGCGTGGCTCTGCCATTAGCGACTTGGCCAGCACCGAGTGGGAGCTTGCCATCGAGACCTTGGGTCCCTGCACTTGGGGGCTGCTGCTGGGGCTGCCGCGTGTCAGGTGCATATGCAGCTGGCTCTGGGCCGGGCCTGAAACTCCCGTCATGCCTGCCGATGGTGGCGGCGGCGTGGCAACATTGGCCGGGACTGGGCTCTGGCGAGGACTGAGTGCGCCGAGGCTGTGGGTGGAGCTGCTGGCATCCGCCTCTGCGGACTCGAATTCGCGATGGCGCAGGGCACGGAACTTCTTGTGCGGCTTGTAGGCCTCGTCCATCAGGGAATTGGTGTCGTACAGTGGAGGAGCCTGCAGCACGCGCTTCAGCACGGGCATATCCTCGACAATCTGGCGCTTCAGATGCAGATTAGCGCTGCTCGAGGGCTGGGGCGAGCGGACCGGAGAGACGGCCACCACGCTCAACTGCGGATTGACGGCGGCCACTGCCTGGGCGGCGGACACCTGCGCGTCGCTGCAATCGAGGGCATCGTCCACACTGGAACGGGGACTGGAGCAGGAGCTGCTGCCGCCCGAGGAGACGGCCTTGCATTCGTTCTTCTCGTTGCCCGACTCGATGCCAGAGTCCGTGGGCGAGTCCAGCTTACGGTAGCGACTCGCTGCTCCCGCTGTTAGGTGGTGATGCAGCTGCGGATGCTGCTGGTGCTGATGCTGCTGCGTGGGATGTGGCTGCTGCTGCTGCTGGGCGTGCGCCTGCTGCTGCTGGTGGTGGGGGTGGGGCTGTTGCTGCTGCTGTTGCTGTTGCTGTTGCTGTTGGAGGTGGTGCCGCACAATGGGCGTGATTGTCAGGCCGTTCTGTGTGAGATGCGCATGCGAGCCGACAATGTCCATGTCGGCGGCACCGGAATCACCACTGGAGCCGGAATTGGCGCGATTGCGCAGAGGACAGCCGCCCGAGAGGGTGGCCGCCAGAAGTGGGGCCGAACTGGCCAATGCCGACGGTTGCGGCGGTGAGGCGGAAGCCTGACCCACCTGCTGCTGCTGCTGTTGCATGGATGAGCTGCTGCTGGGTGAACCATAATCGAGATCCGCCGACTCTGTGCTGGACACAGAGCCCAGGGGGCTCTTGGCCGCCTCCACATCCATGGCATCGGCCCAGCTGGCGGCTGGGGATTTGCCAGAGGATCCATCCTGTCCATCCTCCATGCTCCACATCTGCTGACGCAGCAGCTCCTTGTGCTCGGTGCGGAAGACGACCAGCTTCTCGGTGTGCAGGGTGCTGAGGGTCCTCAGATCCGGCATCGTTTCCAGCAGCTTGGCGAGAAAGTCGGGCTGATCGGGCCGATTCTGGGCCACAATATACTGCAGGCAGCCCTTGAGGCGGCTGTACATCTTCTCGATGAGCTCCAGGTTGCGCAGTCCCGGGCGATCGGGTGTGATCAGGACGATGGCGCAGAAGAGGCCAATCTCGGCATCTGTGAGGTTCATCGAGTTCATGCGCTCCGCAAAATTAAACGTGGAGTCCACCAGGAAGCGGGCATTTGCCCCATTCTGGATGGCATCGCGACGCATCACCTGCCCATTCAGGCAGATAATCGAGTTGATCGACGAGTCGAACATGCAGATCAGACGCACGAACAGTGCATCGAAGAGGCCCGCTTTCAGGAGCGTGAATTTGTCGTCCTGTGTGAGCAGCTGGAAGCCGGGTATCATGCCCGCAAAATCGATCACGCCACGAATGACGTGTGCGAAGCGTTGCGAGAACTCCTGTTCGGATTGCAACTCGGGGGCGGGATTGAGGGGACAGGCCTGCAAAAAGGAAGAGAAGATAAATATTAATAGCTGTTGCATCTCACTGCCACACAATCGCTCGTTCTTACGTCATTGCTCGCTTGGCACACGAAGGTCAGCGAACTGAAACTGCTCCCACTTGCTCTCTTACAAACTTATCGTTTAAATCAATAATCAACAACTATTTCGACTTCCGCAACGCCCACCCAGCCTCGCTCTCTGCCTCTCTCTCTCTCCCATTTATCAAATGTCGCATTTCCCTATACGCTGGTAGCTTTTGCTAAACCAAAGGAGAGCGAGAGGCAGAGAGAAAAAGCGCCCTAACGACGTCAGCTTTCGTTTGTTCTGTTAGTTTTTGTTGTTTGTAGTTTCTAGGGGCGGTTTTTAGTGCTCTCTCTGGGAGCTTTCATACGCTGCCTGTGTGTGTGTGTGGCCTGACATTACCCGCCAAGGTCGACGAACTAGAGTTCAAGGTTCCGGGTTGCTGTTGTGGTGTGTTGGCGCGTGTTCGTGGTGTAGGTGGGGGGAGCGGGACGGGGACTGTTCATGTTATTCCGCCATTTGGCTTTCCGGGTTTCAGTTACATGAACATGCGCCACAGCCGCCCGCCCAGTGAACGTGCCCCGATATCACACACACACACACACACACACAGCATGACCCTTCCCTTCCCCTCCCCTCCCTCTAACTATTGTTCTTCTCATCGACTTAATTTTTAATTTATGTTTGGATTTTCATACATGCAGGCAAACGTGTCTGTGTGTTCGCTTCTATTTCCACGTTGCGCCGTGTGGATTATTTAAAAGAAATAAAAATCTGTCTGCAGATTAACCTTGAAAGTGTTTTTGCACCTCTCTCTATTTCTCACAGAAACAACAAATGCCGACCGGCAACCGGCGACGAAGCGAAAGAACAAGAGAAGAGACCGTTTCGTGTGGCTCTCTCTTCTTTCCTTTCGGTTCTTTTTGCCGGTCGCTTGGCGCTTTGACGTCGTCGTTTGGTATGCGCCAACGTCGGCGTCAAAGTCTGCGTCAGCGTCAGCTCTCCCCAGGTACCGTAGGATTCGTTTTGTGGATACCCTTTGCATGGCATCTTTATCTCTCTTTAATGGCTGTTGCCCTTAATGTTTCCCAGGGTATGCGAACCTTCGAGTCCCAGGCCTTTGCTTTCTCTTGTCTTTGATATGGTTCTAGAAATATTATTTCATGTGCGCAAAAGCGGAAATAGTTTTCGGGTTTTTGCGAAAAATACTAATGACTGGGGAGGCTATATAAAACGCGGCTATTTATGAGTAAAGCCCCCCAGCCGAACGGCGCTTCCCCGTCCCATGTCGGCTGCCGGCGTATCACAAGACCTTCAAATTGTTTGCCAAAAATAATTCCCCAGAATTCGCTCTTTGCGGCCATAGAGGGAGGGGCAATCGAGGTATGGATTGAATAATCTACTTGTTAGGGCTAATCTACACACAGACAACAAAGGGAAGCGTAGAGGTGATCATGTCTCTTCAACCCTCACCTTGCACCTTGTCTCCTTTTGCCGTTCGTTTTCCGTTTTCCGCCTTCCGTCATAACGCAATTGCTTTTTTGCATCTGTACGTCGCATACATATTACGTGTCGTATTCCCCCTCCCATGAACCACCTGACATTCTCTATCTCTCTCTCGCTAGCTATCTCTATCTCTATCTCCATCTGTATCTGTTCTCTCTGTCTCTGTCGGCTGGCATATTTTGCTTCCTCATATTATTCCCTCACATTTTATGCATATTTGAGTGCATTTTTTTAGTGTTATTATTGTTTACTCATTTGTAGTGCGCGGAGGGTGGGGAAAGAAATATCAACTGCAGCCGTATGTGCTGCAGGGAAGGGGTAAGGAAACCAGCGTGCTCGTTTCATTCCAACCAAGGTTAAAAAATAGCTTGGCCCGAAGGTCGTTGGCGCAGTGTGGGGTCTGGTCTACCATTCTGTATGTGTGCGCCTTTCTATGAATGTTCTGATAGTCTGTCCTTAGTCTGCTGTTCCTTTGAGGAATCATTGAGCTTATCTTGTACTAACTGCCGCTCTATACGAGCTCTTTCCATGTCTTATTTATTTATATTTTTTTGTGACTCTCCAGCTGAATTTGAAATTCTTTTGACCTCTGCGTCTCTGCCCCTCCCTGTCTGTCTTGCACTAACTCTTTCATTCTATCTCCGCTGCTTCGACGCTTTTAAATATTTTAATAATAATTTATTTAAATGACCAACGCATGTGCCTGTCTGAGCGCTACCACTCCTCCACCCCTCACCGACTGTCTGTTCTTCTAACACGCCGTCTCTGCCTCGCACTCTCTATCTAGCGCTTTGTTTCCCCTACGTGTGTGTGTGTGTGTGTGTGTGTGTGTGTGTTTGTGTGTGTGCTTTCATTAATAATGACGCTGCGCTTGACCTTGAGCTTTAGAACTGTATTTGTATAATTTGTGTGTTTTTTTTTGTTGCTTTGCTTTGACATTTTGTTGTTGTTGCGACACGTTTTTCTTTATCGCTTTTTTTGTTGCCATTTCGACAATCGCGATCGCTTTCAACGGGGGGAATTTTTGGCATAAGTAAACCCTGTGCAAATGTCCAGCATAGCGGTGGCTTAACCCTCATGTGGCTCATACTGCTTCCACTTCCCCGTACACCCAGTGACCACCCTCCATCGCTGTTCCGATCTAGTAATCTAGCAGATCTACTTGCTCTGACCCCGCGTCGCACGTAAACAGTGACGTCACTCCTCGGCTCTAGATAAAATAAACATCCAAATGCAAACAAAAGTTGAGTTTTACAGCCAACACACCATTTATCATTCAAACTGTCGGCTGGCTGTCCGTCAGACTTTTGGACGTCATAAATTTGACATTGACAGGTTTTTCTTCATATAGAATTTGACCCCAAACCGCTGCCGCTGTCGCTGTCGCTGCCGCTGCCGCACTTCCAATGTCTGTCCGAATGGCCATGTGGAGGTCTTGCAAGAACAGCGCGCGCAAGCGGAGCGATACGTGCGAGCCATGCCATGCCATGCCATGCCACCGATTTCCTGGTTTAGAATCATGCAAACAGGTTCACCTTGGCGCATGACTAACCCAGCCAAATGCCGCGAGTCTGATATCTCAGAGATCTCTCTCTCTCCCTATCTATCTATCTCTTTGTGGATGTCAATACATGTCGCTGCGGCCCCGGAAATATGACTGTCTGAGAGCTACTGCCTACGCTGCAACCTTTTCCGAGCTATTTACGATCTTTGCCAGATTGTAATCTTGATTTTTAGACTTACCAGCAATGTTGGCATCGAGTAGGAGGGGCAATCGCGGGCCCGTTGCCGCATGGCCGAAACCTTCTCCTTGGTAAATTCGCACGTCTCGAGATGGGCGCGCAGGACGGCGGCCAACAGACGGGGCTGATCGTCCAGCTCTGTGGCCAGGGCACGCTGCTGGCCCCGGTTCTGTGTGCTCTGCTGCATGGCGGCAAGGATGCGCGCCTTCTCTCGCTTCGGCACGCGACCAAAGCGCACAGCTGCAAAGACAGAGACAAAAGATGGTGAGGTTAGTTTCAGGTAATCGCTGGTTAAAACTTAAGTTTATATCGTAAAGGTAAACGTGGAAGGGCCCCCCTGCCTGGCAATTGCCTTCCATCAATTACACGCTTCATTGCTGTGGCTGGCAGGTGCAAAGGGACAGCTGTTGCTGCTGCTGTCGTCCTGCTTGTCACGCAGGAAGTGTCCCTACCGTCCCTGTACCGGTACTCAGTCTCTCCTGCAATTTAGTGCCCTTGAAAGTGGGTCATTGCCTCAGCTGCTGCTGCTCCACTCTTCTCTTTGGTTTTCTGGCTTGTTACACTTTCTCTTTTTTTAGATTTTTAAACACAAAAAAAACAGCATTTGTATGTGGGTGAACTTTCACATTTCACCAAAAAGCCAGAAGAGAGAGGGAGACAGGCAAGAGCGACAGAGATGGGACACATTTGCGACACGTTTGCGGTCACGTTTTTCGCACCAACAAACAACAAAAACCAAGAGGAAAAGAGGGCAACAGCAGCCAAAGAGAAGCATTGCCAGCATCAAAAAAATGAAGTTGAGGGAGTGGAAAGAGCATTTCCAGCTTAGCCATTTTCTAGAGTCTAAAGTGGTTCCTCTCGGCTCAGCTTTGGAGTGGGCTTAGTTGGGGTTTCCTTTTTTCAATGTCAAAAGAAATTTGTACAACATTTCACTCGGCTACGAATAAAAGACAAAATTACAAAAAACTGGCGCACCACAGAAAAAGTGAAACAGAAACGAGACGAGACGAGACGCGAGGCTGGTTCGCTCTTTTGCTGATTTTTCACTACACTTTTCCCAGCGCAGGCTACACTGCGAGAAATTGACCCACTTGACTGGCAGGGCGAAATCCAGGTCAAATGAAATGGAAAATGAAATGCTGCTGGCAGTCGGGCAGTCGACAGTCGTCGTCGCTGCGGCTGCGCGTAGAAATTAGAGCGAGCTGCGCTGCGCCGCCGTCAACGCTGCTGCGAGTCCCAACTTTCCAAGAAAGTTGGTCAAACATGCGGCGCTGTCACTGCTGCTGCTGCCACTCTTTTAGAAAATAGCAAGCGGCGCAGCAGCGTAGTGTTGCCAGCCTTCACTTCACTTCACTTCACCGAAGCTGCGTTTCAAGTTTAAAGCTCTTCCGCGGCAAGCAAGCCGCAGCAGCCACCGCCGCAGTCGACGAGCCGCACAAATTATTGTCTGTTTAAAAACGAGGTCAACACTCAATGGCGCTCGAAAAAAAGGTAAACAGCACGAGAAAACAACACAAAAAGAAGCGAATCAAAGTCAAAGCCGAGAGCATCTATGGGAGTTCATTTTTTTTCGAGTTTTTATTTTTATTTTTTGGAAACCGAAAGCGTTGAGATGTGGTGTGGTGTGTGGGGTGAGTGTGGAGGGGAGGTAAACTGTGTCAGTTGGAGCATTAGGGGGAAATTTCTTTCACTTTCTAACTCCATGGAGTTCCGAGTTGATCTCTGAGATCTTTGTATGGAAACTTACGCGCATTGTGATAGTTGACATTGCCTTTGAGTATCCCCTTCAGTATTGGCAGTTCTTCGCCCATTTTAAGCGTAAATTTTTGTTTCGAAATATTTATTGGGTATTTTTTGTGTGTTGTATTCCAAAATATTTTTTGGTTTACACTTTTCTCCCTATGAGATTCTGCTGGGCACCACTCATTCGAGTATTCATGAATAATTCTTGGCTTGGCTTAATTTTGCTTTGTTTTTTGGCACACACTCGGGAGGGGAAAAACTGCAACTTGATTCTATTTGGTTTAACTTTCTTGCCTCGCAGCGAGGGATACAGATACACTCTAGGTATTTCTATGTTTATTTTTGATTTTTTGATTTTTTGATGTTTTCTTAAATATTTTCCACTAATTTCCAAGACTTTGTTGTATATTTTCTATGCTTTAGTTTCGTTTTTTTGTTTTGTTTGCAGGAACTTTCTTTGCTTTTTGCTTGTAAGAACTTTATCAATTTTCACAATTAATTTTAATTTTTGGAATTTGTATTAAATATTCTTACTAGATATTTAATTTAATATTTATTTGGATTTGTTGTTTCATTTAGCGCGTAATCCAGACAACGGGTGTGGGTAGTGTGGGTGGCTTTTGGTGTGTGCGGCTGTTGAGACTTGGTCGACTTTTCGTCATTTACTTTAGTTGTTAATTTATTTAGTATTTATTTCTTTTTGGTTTGGTCAACACTCGCGTTCTTCTTGTGGCGGCTCGGGCGGGCTCAATGCTCAAATATCTGAATCTGTAGCTGAATGTGAGTGCTCCTCCGCTGACATGACAAAACTCGACAAAATCTCGAACGCGAATAACTGTAAACGCCGCAGCACGTCACCGAATATACCAAAGCAATGCACAGGCAGGCGGCAGCAAAAGCAACTCTGAGCGGCGAAGCAGCAGCACAAAACAGAGAGCCGCCAGAGACAGAGTGCGAGAGAGCGCCGCTCTTAAGAGCGGGAGTGTAAAGCTTGCCTCGGTTGCTCTGAGCGAACTGTGATAAGGTTTAATCATCGGTTATTGCCGTTTTCATTTATAATTTATTTATATTTAATTTAATTTATTGGCATTTAATTTGTACTATTTTAATTTGTTAAATTTCTCCTCGATTTTCAACACTTTCTTGTCTCTTGTGTTCAAGTTCAAGCTATGATAAGCTTTTCGTGATAAGCTTGCTGCCTCCTTTATGTATGCTCCATCCCTTTCTGGTTGCAACAACATCTGCCCTGCCTTCCACAAAAGTTCAATGTTCGCGCCATCAAAAACAAACTGAAATGCTGAAGGCAGAGAGCGCGTTTAAGAGAGAGCAGAAAGCATTAAATTTATACTCTTTGGCACATTACTGGAAAGCTCTCTTAAGCTTCGGCGCAAAGCTTTTCAACACACCGAAAGAGCGCGCTAGTGTGTTGAGTTTTACATTTAAGAGCGCGTAAAGCTTTGGGGTAGAGCTTTTCTCATACTTGGTTTTTGTTTGATTGATATTTTGTTGTTTGTAGGATTTGAACGGTGCGTATGCGCGATTTTAGTTGACTGTGAATGCATTCCCCCTCAGCCGATACGTCATGTTGGCTGGTGTAAAAACTGGGCTGGTCTGGAGGCTGAGGCCAGTAAGGAGGGACACATATTGCATGTATTTAAATGAATCTTAATGTTTCACGCTTGAGTGTATAATTTATGACGCCGCTGGCCCCGTCTGGCGGCAGTCGAGGGTTGTGACGCGACCCCTCCCACAATCCACCTACTTCTCTCCATCGCTAACCTGCCACCAGTCACGTTGTGCTTCTGCTTCTGCCCAAGAGACTTGTGATAGATCTTTAGCCAAGGATTTGGTTCACTTATGACTCACTGATTGTCAACCCGCACCCCCCACTGACTCATGTGTTTGCTTATACTCCACTCCAATTCATTTGTTTATTCAAACTTTTCGAGTTTGTCATGGCTTGGAATCGAATCCGAAACGATGTGTGATGGGGAAGTTCCCGTGGTCAATGAACTTAGTCGCTGGAATGGGGCCAACACAACGAGCAACGAGCAACAACACAAACAGACAAACAACAAAATTTAATAATCATTTCAGCGATGAGCCATTGAGGTCGTCTTTTCTGTGTGTCTGTTGCTTTGGACGAAAGTAAAAGTGAAAGTTGTTTGGCTCTTTTTCGGGTAGAAATTTCCGTGCGTGTGTGTGTTGTGGAAAAGCAGACGGCAGACCCACAGACACACAGACAGCGGGCCACGACGATTGGGCAACTTGACCAGCTACTGGGAAGGTAGGCCTATAAACTCGAGTTGCATAAGAGCCCCACGAAAATATTGGGGCTAAAGACCAAGCAGGCACAAAAAACCCAACTGGAAAAAGCCCGAAAATGTTTTCGATTTGATAACAATTTCTGGGGGTGGTCTAATTTTGTTGTTGTAACTTTTAGGTCTAGATGGGCTGACAATTTGTGATCAGCTATGACAGTAAATAAATATCTACTCATTTTCCAAGACATGGCAAAACTTATGTAAGTCTGTGGCTAAAAACTCCAGAAGAAAGACCAGTAAAATATTCAATTTTGACTTATTTTGTGTCTCACACAAATAATTGACATTCACCATAAAGACCCTGCACAATGCCAGCAATTAAAAGCCAATTAACAAGTTTCACTTTCTCTGAGCTGTGAGACCCTCCCTGTTCCTGCTGCGCCCCACAAAGCTCTGAATCAAGTTGCTTTCTCAATGCGTTGGGGCATATGATTTCTGGTTGTTATTTATATTTGGGGGGCCATTTGTTTGGCTGAGACTTCCTGAATTACGGAGAAATGGTCGCTAATTGTGGCACTAAGCTTTAAGCAAACAAAATCCAAAACTTGTTGCAGAGAGAGAGAGAGAAATGGAAGAGAGAGAGAGAGTCACAGCGAGAGTTCAATGCACCCTGCGATGAAGCAAAGCCACAGTTGCAATCAGGAAACGATGGCGAGTCGGAGATAGAGAGAGAGAGGTATGGAGGCCTACTTTCGGTTTTGGGGTAGGAAGGTGATTCACAAACACCTTTTTCGTAGAGTGGGGAGGGAAGCAGAGCAGAGCTTTGCGTAAAGTCACATAAGCGACAGACAGACAGACTCACAACTGTTGTTGGCCTCAGTCGCTGTCGCTGCTTGCGTAAGCGATCGAAGTGTGTGGAAAGCAAGAAAGAAAGAGCGAGCGAAACGAAACGATACCGAAGAAAGGGGGACAAGCGGGTAATGCTCGTAATAACAATAACAATAATAATAATAAAGCCAGCCAGCATTTTTTGTTTGTTTTGAAGTTTCTGGAAATTTCTCAACTGAAGACAAAAGAAAAACAATCTGCATATGGTTCCGCCTCCCCCTAGCCAACATTTTCCCACATTTACGCGTACAATGTTTATTTATATTTATGTTTTGTGCCTTCGTGCAACGATTTTTGTGGGTCATGAAAATGCCTCAATGAAATGTCGCTCTCGTGGGGCGGAGG